ACTGCACAAGAGACACCTTTGACTTCGTTCTACTTTAATCCATAGACGTGCAAACGTTTATACTGCCGTCAAAAACAAGCCCACAGTGAGGAAAAGTGTGACAGGATCAAAAAGACGCCATGAAAACCTGCTCGTTTCAGATGCTGAATTCACTGAACCATGCAGCTCGACTGTGATGGCCCACCTTTGTCGATTTCCTCAGCAGAGCAGGGGCTTCCATCGGGGGAGTGGAGGTGGTCGGAGCTGCAGGGCCGGGGCGACGGACTAGACTCGCCACTCGAAGGGGCCTGCGTGTCCGTGTCACGCGTGTCCCCGCTGTTGCTGTAGCGATGCGGTGGGAAGGGGGCGCGGCGGCCGTCTACCGCATCCATGGCCTGTGAGGACGGAACACAGAGGAGGTGGATTTAAAAACGACAAACTGGAGGCGCTCAGCGTTTGGAGACACTTAAAACTCAAAGGTCACATTCATTTCTCTATAACACTCACTGAAACTGTGCAGCACGCTTAACACGTACCTGCTCGCTCACTAAAATGTTCCGAATCTAAGAACTGCTGCAGCTAAAAGGCCTCTGGTGTGTTTGTATGTCTGTTTAAAGGGCAATTGGAGAAGCAAACACCACACCAGATGGTAGCACTTGACGGTAGATGAAGTGTGATGTGCAGAGCGTTCTGCTTTGGCACAGCTGATTCAAAGGGGAGAGCAGAGAAGAAAAAAAAAAAAAAGCCTCCGTGCACAGCAGGCTGTAAATCTGTAGTGGTGTGTATGTTTGTTGGAGTGTTTAAACTGGATGTGTGTGTGTGTGTGTGTGTGTGTGTGTGTGTGTGTGTGCCTGTGACTTTCTAAGAGTGGAGTTTTACAGACCTGCCAAGGTTTACTGCCCCACATCAGACAAGATTTACAGGTCTCCTTGCCTCTGAGCGATTTAATTCAGAGCAAGTGAGAATATATGCGTCTTACTGTCTGACTGTATGGTGCACAATACTGCAGCCGGCTTTACAAGCTTGTGCTGCTTGAGTGTAATGAAATGTAAGCATAGCCTGAATCGATTTTAGGATATATGTATATATATAAAATAAACTAAGATTTGGTGTGTTCCTTAAATAACCCAAACTGACAGCTTAAGTAGATTCACTTTTACCAAAATAATACAATATTGATCCTTAAAATCTAAATATCAAACTTTAGAAGTGACTGCGTTAAAACCAAATGTCTATTTTGTGCAACAGTAGTGATGTTAATATCCTCACAAAGGTTATTTTAAGTTAGAAAGCATCACAGATGATATGAGCAGCACCGAGTCCCAACAGTCCCGTTGCAGTGTGACGTGAACGGTTGCTGCTCGTGTGGACAGTTTACAGGACTGTTGTGACTCAGGCCACTGGTCTGAACTCTGCTTGTGTTTGTTGATGAGATGTTATCTCTGGCTGTGGGATATGAAGTTGTGAAAGTCAAGTACTTGGTTCTGTCTCCCCCTGTGGCCACATGTGAGACTGATGTGTCGTCGTCACAAACTGCAGATGGATTTGTGAGCAGCCCATCTGAGCCCAAAGCGATTATTAAAATATAAAACGTGATTTAAAAACAGGATGCAGACGATCAATGTGTAGCTCGTTTTGTATGCATAATGATGTTGCATTAGGAGTTCTTGCAGGTCTTATTATTCTTTCACTGTTTTGCACATGTAGACCTCAGAGTACATCAGACTTTTAGGATTCTTCCCAAGAACTGTTTTTACAGCTCAGATTTTCATGTGCACTTCCCACACCGTTATATCAAATCAAACACCAAGAACACTGCTCATTTCCTCAATGTAGACAAAACTGGAGTATCTAGAATAAAGTCTAGGAATTCCTAATGAGAAGATGGGATTAGTAATTAATGCAATGTGAATAAGTTTGACTCAATCTGAATCGAAATGATCAACGATCAGTTCTGTTAAATTAAAAGTACATCAGTGTCACTTAGCTCGGCATCAGCTGACAACCGCAGGACACAGGTACGGTACCCACAATGTGTCGATCCCAGGAGAAGATCTGATGAAAGTGACGCCCTTCTGTTTATGTTTGGATCATAGATGTTTGGATTTGCTGCATTAACGCTACGTCAGCAGAATGCAGGAATGACAAAACGTCCCATTGTTGGAACGTCAGAGCCTGCAGCGGGTGGTGGTCACGGGCGGATTGCAGTGCTCACGCCAGATTAATAGAAATAAATCCTGAACTAGTACTTAAAAAATAATGTCTTTACACATTTTAGCAATTTAACAAGTTAACCAGATGTTAATGAACCATGTGACCTATACAAGTAAGATGAGATGAGACAATTCTTATGGGGGAAATTTGGATTGGTTGTATTTCTGTTAAAATATTGTCGGTGACTTTGCAGCCATTTTGGCACCATTTTGTTTTGTTTTTTTGTTAAACCAAGACATATTTGCCCTACTCATGACTACAACCAGGAAGCTGCTGTTTACCGTTTCACTACACTTTAATCCTCCTTTTTAAAGTTTGCATGACCTGACATTTAACCCCACTGGTGAAGGACGAGAAGATTTTGTTCAGAACACATCTGTCTGATGAGTTCTTCAAATATAACTCAGGTCTGCAGTTCAGGAAGCACTACAAGCTCTTTCAACCACTTCTTCACCCATCACTGCTGTGGTTCCTACCTGTATCCCCTGCTCCCAGTCCTCTCGGATAAACACATTCTCCAGCTCATGATTGATGCCCTCCACGCTGCTCGGCACTCTGCATATGAGGGACTTTGTCATGGGGATTGTTGTCATGGTGGATGAAGTTCCTTTGTACTGGAAAGAAAAAGGAAATCAGAAGAAAAAATTACATACATGTCAAAATAATTTACAGAAACGCCTCCTTCGTCCCCACATCAAACCCATATACGTCATTTGTGCAATCAATTGCCAAACACTGCGTACATCTTGCACTCAAAGTTTTGCTTGTGGCTTTGCATCATCATTAATCCAGTTTCATCATATTTAATGGGTGGAGGAATTCAGTTTTAATTCACGTTCCTGTATTTAAACACACAGCCATGACTGCGCTTTGTGTTAATGTTAGTGGATCCCATTGCTGGGCATCTGTAAATGAATGAACTGCAAACAAGGAGAGAAAAGGGCATGTCCAGGCACATTCCTCCTTTGCCGTCTCCCTTTTCCTTTTTACATAACTGGTCACAAAGGACACTAATTAACTAGACCTCAGTCAAATTCAGTGCAACGTACGTCATCATGGGCAACACACATGACTGAAAAAATACACAAACACTTTCACTCTACACCCACAAACAGTTTCATAACTTTCGTTTTCTACATTAGTTTTAAAAAATAAAACCCAGATTATTAGTTTAATACTGTCACCTGAGTCATCTGGAAAGCAACACTGCTTTTTTCCTGGTATATTAAGTTCTCTTACCTTTAACAGCTGTGATATCGTTTGGTCCGTTTCATTTGTATGTTTTCTGCTGAGCTGCTAAGCTACCTTATCATATCGCTGCTTTCAGGGTAAAATCTTGCATCACTGTAGTCGAGTTAGTTAATGTTTTCACCCAAAGAGAGCATGCCAGTGGCTCGCATAGGCAAGGCGTGAATACTGACGAGAGTAACTCACCTGGGGTTGGCATGCAGCACCATGCTGCGCCTGTTGTGGCAGCTGCAGTGAGCTCTGCTCTCTGTCTTTGCTCTGCCGGCTGACCTGTTTGCTGCGCTGCAGCTGCAGTCTCAGTTTAGCAATCTGCTGGAAGAAAGGAAACATCACTTTAGCTTCATTTATTTCAACTTCTAGGTAAAAAATTAAGTTGGAGGGTGAAAAGCATTTTCTTCCAGAGTATTTAGCTGCTAGCCTAGCAATAAACTGACATGACAATAACTTAACCGATCTGAAACATCATCTACTAGAACTACAACAAGCTGCACTAGAAATGGTTCTATTGGAGGAAGTCTGGGAGGATTTATCCTCTACTGGGGCAGACAACATGAATATGGAACTACTGGACTTCTTCACAATAACATATACGACTGTGTGCATTCATGGAGATTGATGCAACTTCATGTGGTTGCAGGCCAGTAAAGTGCATCCACGTTTTATGTGTGGTGATGAAACAAGTTAGGTCAATGGGTGTTTCTGCATCTGGCCCGGTATCAGCCTAAAAACAGGATACCCTTTGTGAGCCTAACAGACGCAGTTGTACTGTGCAGACAAAGGTGTGGTCTTCAATGCTGATCTTGTAATCCTGGCAACACAGTCAACAAAGAGACTTGCTTTTTTCATAGATGTCCTCCCACACATGTAATCGCAGAGGTTAGAGAGCTAGAATGCAGTTCACTGCATTCACTTAGTGACCGCAGCAGTCGATAATGACAAGTCCAGACAATCCCAATGTAATCTCAGTGGATGGGAAAAAGAGGTTTTCCTGGCTGTGCTATGCTATTGATTGTACAGGCCGAGGAACAGGGATTGTCTGAAGAAATATGAACACAGAGTTTTTCTAGACTGCCTAGTTATAGTGTGTGACTAAGTTTACACTTAAATGTGATTTATGACATCTGAGGAGAGTTAGTCCAGTAAAACGGTGCTGAGTACGTTAGTCAGAAGCCAGAAGGTAAGTATTATGAAACTCTGGTGGTTGTATTTGATAAATTGTGCCTCCTATTATTTCTCCTTTAACATCTGTTGACATTTCTATAGTGCAACATGGACATTAGTGGTATTCTTTTATATCTTTCCTATTCATAATAAAAGTCTAAACAGTCAAATTAAATTCCTGTGCATCCAGATCTGCAACCCAATGCTTCTAGCATGATCAGAAAAGCGTAGCCATAGCCTGGTGTGTTGACACATTGTCAACAAAATAAAGGAAAAACCTGTTTGATCAAAAGAGTCACACACTATTAACTGAGGGTAATTGTGCATTTGAACTTATGAACTTGTATGACCTTCTTACAAGTCTGAGTTACACCTCTCTTAGCATTTTGGCCCTGAAACATTCTGGAGTGGAGCTCAGTGAAACGGTTTTGAAGTGTAGCTGAATGTGTACTTGCAAGGTTGTAAAGACAACACTGACAAAACGTCCAATACATCTGTGTGCCATTATTTTTTTGGATCTACTCTTTGGCCACAAGCTGAACAATATGAATGTCAAATTTAAGCATCAGAGTTACTCTGAATGAGTTTACTTGGTGCAGACTGAGGAGGAAACAATATGGCTGTTTCACCCTTGAGAGGAGCTCCTGCACTGTCTCTCAAAAACAACAGACCATAATGAGATGCAAAGGCTGCAGTTGAGTGGGGAACAGAGGGGAGAAGGAAGTTAAATTTAGACTGTGGTCTGGAGAGCTGGAGACCTTATAACTCCATGTGGTCGACTGGTTGGCCACCAACCCCGGCAGATAGACAGGAGTGGAAACCAACCTTAAGGAGCATAATATTTAGGCTAACCTCAGACCCTGACAAATAAAACACATTTTGAGTAAATGGAATGAACCTCAAAAATGACAAAAACATTCTTTTAACTAGCTGTGCGAATGTATTGAGCTAGCCGGGCCCAGCTAAGTGTCAGACAGACTTCTGAAAGTGCTCTTAATCCACTCTCTGCGGTGTTTGTCTGAAGCAGCTGTGATGTGAGAGAACCGAGGTCACGACAGGTGAATCTACCTCTTTGAGGTGGTCTGCGCTGCCCCAGGAGGCGGACCGCTGGTGAGGACTTCCCTGTTCTGCTCCCTCGTCAATCCAGAGACCTGGAGTCTACGACACACAAATACACATGCTGACACACAACCACATGTTACACAACTCTATTATTTCCTCAAACGCACAGAGCTCATGCTATGGATACGTGCTCCAAATGTACTGTACACGTCTTGTGCTGCATATGTACATGAAGCAAACCATCATGTACTCCTGCGTTACACAAGAGCATGAGCACAAGTTCTCGTTGTGTGTGGGTGCAAAAATATGCAATTAGAAAACATTACAGCACTCTAAAAGGGTAACATTAACCAACCCGCAGTCAGTTACTGCCGTTTGTCTATGTGGCAGGGTGGTCTACAGTTTGTATTTTAGATATTTTAGTTGTGTATTTAGTTCTGCTTTAAAAATATAACTATAAAACATGTTTACATAAAGAAATTTGCATACACACAAAGACACTTCTACCTACTTGTACTGAAATACACATAAATAAAACGTAAACACAGGCTTGTGCAGGAGAGGAAGGAGCTCAGAGACAATTATTGGCTAATGTGATCCCTCATTGTAAAGTCACTCAAGATGTGAGCTACGACTAAATGCCGAAAATGTTTAGATAAGCGGTTGAGAAAGATGTGGGTGAAAACAGTAATGAGTGCCGTGTGTTCAAAAGTAAAGCTGAAAATCTGGAATCAATGAAAAGGAGGAAAACAGTCATGAGATACCATCCCTGAGGACAGAACTATGTTCAACAGGAAAAACAAAACTCGCAGCATATTTGATTGCTTCCATTAGTAAGCTTAAGATAAATACATCTGTGGCAGTGCACTAAACTCGCTTCTTTGTCTGCAGACCACAGCGATGCACATTCCAAACTCCACTGGCCATTATTATCATTTAAGACAGCAAACACAGTAAGGAAAAGAAATAATTACAGGGTTACCAAAAATCTGTGGACACCTGCCAAGACGACATCCTCGTCAGCCACGGGACATTTATAAGGACTTTACTAGCGAGGTTTCCACCTTTCCCCTGAAAAAGTCCACAAATCCGTGTACCTATTTAGCCTATGTACACCACTGTGATTTGTCAAAAACATGCAGCACAATGTTATGCTTATACAAGGTCAATGAGTCTACAGAGAAATTTTGTGTTGTTAGTACACCAGCAAAAAAAATAAAATAAAAAAACACCTGATATACAAAACATTCCCTAGCCGAGAGCATAGAGGCAGTTCTGTCTCAGTCAAAGTGTCTTTTAGACCTCGACTGCAGAAACAAGGAAACGGTTAAGTTATGTAAATTAATGCAAAAACAGAAACAGACTGAGGATGTTTCATAGGCTTGTCTGAAACCACATACTTCCCCCTGATTATGCATATCAACAGTGCCTCTGGACCTCAAACATCTGACGTTTTATGGTCAGCACAGTAGTACGAAACATCTTAAATGTCAGTGTTTTCACACTGCCTTATGTTTGACCCCACGCAGACAGAAAAACCTCTATGGCTGTCCAACTAACGCACAAGCCTTGCCCTATGATATGGAATATCACACTGTGAATAATGAGGAACACCCGGGAAGCCGTTTGCGCTGGCTTGCTGGTGCCGGTTTCCCCAGAAAAGGACAGCGAATTAAATGGGTGCTTGTGCTCTCATAAAGGGACCACTGTGCTTGGCCACGCTGGATGGCAGATGTGTAGCTAGCCTTTAGCATTAACATTTTGTGCATGGCCTATGGAACTGCTTGTGCCGTTTGATGCCTCTGCCAAACATTGAGGGACTTGATGCTGCAGCGTAATCCGTTCATACAAAATGCAGATTGCTAGAAAGGGCAGACGGGCTTTATGGAGTTCTGGACTGAGCTGCTGAGGAAAAACTAAGTTCTCACAGATGTTTTGTGGCGTCAAGCGGGCATACTGCTCGCATCTCATGAAATGTGAAATACTTTCACTGGCACTAAGAGACGTATATGCAGTTTTCATAGTCCTGCACAAGACTGATCGAAACACGAAATTGGGGGGTTTCAAAGACCTTCGTCAGGTCTGGGTGGTACGAAGATATTGAAATTAAATTCAATTCAGTTATTTACAGATTATATTTCACTTCATCTGTAAGAACTGTTGCTTTCTTGTGAAGTGCCATCAATCAAACGAGTCGAATTTGTCAACATTAATCCATAATTTCATGTTGACTCTACAGAAAGTTAAATAATTCAAACATTTCAACAGGGGACAGGTGGCGGTATGTATCTTAATTTTCAATTTAAACTCCTAATTTTCACCCAGGTATGGACAGTATAACAAGACGGTTAAAAATACTGCAGGCTATCTTTCTTTATTGACTCTATAGCCCCAAAACAAACTCTCCGTTAACAAGAACACCCACCTTTATTTACCTCGGAGGCCCTTTTATCACGCTTGCTCCTGAACCTCAAGCCTGGGCTGTGTGCTTTTTGCAGGCTGACTTGTGTGCCAGGTGTTGCGCCTGATAATGCATGCTGTACAGATAAAACTCTGTTACCATAGCCTGCAGCTTGCTTCCTATTGTGATTCCCACCCAAAGGGTTACATGCAGGCAACATCCTCAAGAATCCAGCTCCGTTCCAAAGCAGGAAACAATGACTGGGCTTCAATAGAATTGCAGTGGAATTTGTGCTGGTTTGTTTAGATTGCATGCCGAGACATGCGAGTGGAGTGCCACTGCAATCATTTGGTAGGTTGTAGAGATGAGAACAGCGTGCATTCTGATTTAGCGAGTTGATTTTGTGCGTCTTTTATCTCGTGAATGTCTGAAACCCACTGAGCGTACCACAAAATGGATAAATATCTCTAGGTGGGTATTTGTGTGCATGAACATATATTCAGATTAACCGACAATCCTCAAGACACGACTCATATCGGGCAAACATGAGGTAGAGTTAGCGGTTAATCAGTGATAGCACATAACATGTAATGCAGCACTAAGGTAAGAATAACTGCATCTCCGTCTAAAAGGCCCTGACACATAAAGCTGAACGTCTGGCAAAGGCAGGTTGTCCTTCAGCTTTTGTAAGCAACTTGGCTTTTTGGGCAGCTATCAACCAAGAGAGCAAAACTTTTGACACAGCAAACCAAAACTGTAATCAGACATATTGTCAATTTGCATTCCAGGCATTTAATGACACGGTTTACACAGACTCACATGTATACAGCAAGCTATTCCCCCCATGTTTTCAGATTACAAATACACATCACTGATTACCGTTTCCTCCTACGTACATGCTAAACTTACATGTATGTCAGTGGTCAGCTATACCTTTTTGTGTGTTCGAGTGCAACTTTTAACGAGAGACACGAGGCAACGCACGCTGTTTGATCAGACTGCCTTTGTCTCTGCTGGTTCTTTGAGGTCGGCTTGGTGTGTCAGGCCCTAATCTTCATACAGACATTCTCTGTGTTCTGTAACCACAGGGCCTAGGGCATGCAGACCTATCCCGGAACAGTGATTAGCATATGTATGGGCCCTCTGCTCCTCAACTCCCACACAAAAGGCAGGCGGGCCGTGCAGCCACGAGGGCCAGGTGGTAAGCAGTGGGATTTCTCCTCGCCTCAACCATAGCCTGGGGGACAGGTGCAAACAACTTCACCTCCATGCAGGGCTACATTACAGCTCAAAGAAGAGGCTGTCTTGAACTTGAGCAATGCACAACAAAAGAGGCCAGGGACCTTTTGTCTACTGCTCTCTGCTGCTGCCGTCTTATAAAAAGAACTGGGCCCAGGCATAACTTGTTAACAGGAAGTGGTCTCCGGCTATCCTTGGGGGAGTTTGTGCATTTAATCGCTCAAGGATTGTCAAGTGTGTCAACTCTCCCACATTATTACGACACAGCCACATGTTTTCCAGCTCAAATTTCCACAGCTTTGACAGAAATGCCTTAACTGGATTTTTATTTTGGTCAGCCTTCAATCAGACATTTACTGATAACTGGCTGGAAAATATGATTGAGGCTACGTCACGAGGACAGGCAAACATCCCAGTGTGCCAACAACCCTTGAATCTATAACAACGCTGCATATATGTGCATGAAAATTATCCAACTGATTTTCCATACTTGACCAGTCTTTCCAGAGCTGCACAGGAACCCTGTAATTAGAGGTGTTTACTTTGCACACAGCCACTTCAAGAAATCTTGCAAGGCCCTCTCACCATTTCCTCAGCCTACAAACAAAGAAAAGCAAGGCGAACGAGGGGTTAAAGGGATGAAGCCCATGTAAATGAGGCTTGGCGGCCTTCATTCAGACACATGAAAGGCTTCTGTTAGCAAAGAGGAGAGCAGCCCTTGTCATGATCATACATATTCAATATTCTTTCATAACACAAACCCACCACAAACCCTCAACTTCCAAAAATTAAGCCCCCCGAGCGAAACTGCATTTAACCCTCCGTCACATGGCAAGATTAGTGGGTGATCATGTGTGGGCCGCTACCCAGGAATATTCTGGTCAGGCTCAATGTGAAATCCATACATAGGCCTTATGAGGTGTTACGCCTTCTTAAAATGCGTTGCTCTGAGGGAATTTCAGACTATTTGCACAAGTTTATTAGGCCTCTATTGGCAGGAGACCCCACCGAAAGCCACCAGATTAATACACCAAAACGTTTGGCCGTGGTGTGTAAATGCGTCTCCTCTACCAGCCACTATGACAAAAACTATTTCTTGCAGCCTTAACTGGCATCATTTTCGGGGAGAACAGTGCAGCGAGTGTTTATTTGGGGAATTTACCAGAGCCTCTTGCCAAAGGGTGGACAATATCGCATTAACATAGCATCATGAAATGTTAAAGGTATTTTTCCTGTCAAACTTTAAACCAACTTCAATTCAGCGTAAACCACAGTGGCTGAAACTCATCCAGCTTGTGATTACTACGCTACTTTGGCCATGTGTTCAATGTGCTGCACACCTTTATCTCACATTCCCTGCTGAATACGACTAGTGGTGCCATTTAACTCTACTTTTCTGAACTTGTAGAGCTTTTCTTTTACCAACTGAAGCTCCTGTGATGATTCATCGATAATAGTCACCTGCTGAACACAATCGGACGGATGGTAAAGCATCTCATCCCAAGATTAATTTGATTACAAAACAACAACAGATGTGGCCTTTGTGGGAGGATGCAGGGCTTCTCCTCTTTGTCTCGGAGGGTTTTTCCTGGGGGGGGGCACCTCCACGCTGCCACGCTCGGTCCGTTTGTGGCACCAACCACTCTGTCTTTCAGCCACGCATGCTGCAGCTGCTCATAATCACTATGTGGAATACGTTAACACTTCACAATATTTTAACATCCTGCCACGAACACTTTTAATCACAATGATCCATAGCAGCATAGATTCATAAAGTGGGAGGAGCTACTTCGTAAATACATGCTGCCTATATTATGCGACTCGCAGCTGAAGCACTTCTGTTGCTCAGACTTGTATGAAAACCTCCTAATCTAATCATCAGTGTGAAAGACGAACAGCTGCACGAGAAACCACCAGATGAAGGCAAAGACCATGTATGCAAAAACGTCTGGAGCGACGTCAACTGTGAGAGAACTTTGGCAGCTTAGCTTAAAGGTTTGTGATGTGCATGCTAACACTGGGTAAAGGCAAAAAGACAGCAGCGTTGAGAAAACCCCTATGGGCCCATAGCCAAGATAGGATCTGTTGAATGGTATGTACCTGTGTGGCTTTGTCTTTCATACAGGAAGGGTAGGGTCCATGAGAGTCCCGAGGCCACTGGCCAGTGAGATACGGCCCGGTGATAGCATCTAAGGAAGATGCTCGTCGAATGGCGCTGGAACTCCGCACCTGTAGTTTGGACCTTTCTGCTGTGAATCGAAAAAAGAAGAAAAAAATGAATTAGGCACAGCAGGCATCAGCCTCATGTGAGCAATATGCCCGAGCACCCCGAGGCGTTTTTTTGATATGCTTTGACTTTCCTGATTGTGTGAATAAGAACAAGTTTAACTTGGGATGCTAAAATGTGAGTGTAATAAATCTCTCAGTGCAAACATGCAGCCAAGAACAGGGTCACTGTTGTTTAATTTTTTTGAATCAACCTCAATCAAAGAGCAATTGCATCATCAAAGTATGTCAAAATGGGTTAGTTTTGTTGACCTGGTTTCTTAAACTACTAGATGGCACTGCAGGTAGATCTTCACGTTCCAAGACTAGAATCATACAATTACAGAATGAGCTGTTATTTAGGTCTCTGGATAAAACGGGCTGCACCATCCCTCCAGCAACAACACATAAAAACATCACCTCTGTACTACTAATGCAATTAACCGTGTTTTATGAAGACAGAGCTTTCCTTACAATCTCTTCTTGTTTTCAAAGTATGGACGCATTTTTTTTTAATCTCGTCAGTATTAGTGCAGAGCAAAGAGCAGGTTTGAGAGCTGAGGCCTGAAGCAAATGTAAATGGCTGAGCAGGAGTATCTGATATTATGAGCAATCTGCTGTGAGCTAGAGCAGTTAAGCACACACACACCACCCACATAAGAACTCATAAACAACCACACCACAATGCACATCAATACTGCCTGCATCCACTCAACATTCCTGCAGTGACACGCAGTAAAAAAAAAAAAAAAGAGAGAGAGAAAACAAAACACACAGATATTAGCTTAAGAGCATTTTGAGATTGCAGTTAGAAGTGGATTAAATTTATTAGCCTCAATTACACGTCGTGTTACTACTAAAACCAAATTAATTTCCATATCAAAGGCAGAATAAAGAAACTGAAGGATGAGCAGGAAATATGCTTATTTACTCGATTCCTTGCCTGAGCAGGATAAAGCAAGGGCCTTTCCAGCATGAGCACACACAACACACAGACTAAGCTATCTACATGAGGCACCCCTCTCCTCGTACAACTACACAGCCGTTCATTGTTGTTCTTTGTTCACAAAATACACAGGCCTACCCACCCAAAGGTATTGCCTAAGTAAGCTTACTGGGCTACAGTAAAATTCCCTGAAGCATTGTAGACAAAGGAAGCAGGCTAAATTTCCATCAATATTGATATAGGCCAAGCCAGTGCTCTCAGAACTAGGATTGTGGTTATTTTCCATCCTCTCCCTACTTGCCAGACTAGAATAATCTCCTGATGAGAAAAAAGAAACAGTGTGAAAGAAGCCAAGACATCAAAGCAGTCCATCTGCTGATTTCAGGGGTAAGTAAGTAGTGTGTGCCATATTAAAGGAACATTTTCAGGTTGAATTTTAATAAGAACTTTCCTTCACAGGACATTCGGCAAGCTGTGAAAAGTCGCCGCATTTGCAGGGATAAATGGGCGGTTTATTAACTGTAGGGTAGAAGCAAATGTGAAAACAAACATGTGGTCCAGATCAGTAAACCATAGCAGAACAGTTTCCTGCAGGTTTTCACAAGGCTGCATGACACCGGTTGAATAGGAAAGCCCAATAATATAGCTTGGTCTCAGGATAACAGAATAAAATCACCGCATTCTCAGGATTTCACACTGAAGTTACACCTGGAAGACCTAATTATTTTAAGAAAACAGATTCTGTACATCTTCTGGGGCACAATTGATTCAGTTCAGTTATTGTAATTGCCTACAAAGTTAACGAGAAAACACAGACTTCTTCTTACAACTGTTCAACTCAGTCACTGTTAAAAAGAGGTGCAAGGAGCTTATAAACAAAGGATACTACTTGTACTTTCCTCCAATACTATTTACTAGCACTACTCACTATGTGCCAAACAGATTAGTGCTAAGTCAACAATCACTGGACCAGCAGAAGTGAACTTAACAATCGGTTAATGTCATTTTATAACCACAAACACCCAACATGATCTGGTTTTAGGTATTTAAATGTGAGGCTTTACTGCCTTCATGCAACAGCAAAAACAAATGTGTATATAGTTGGACATTTTCTGAGTTCAATCATGTTTTGCACGAGCTGCTCAAGCTAAAATCGGGGTTATTTGCAGGCAAAAATCTGATGAGGTACCGTCTTTCACACAGCATAAATGATGACATTAAACTTGTCAATGAGCTGCCAAAGCTGTGAGTTTGTTTATCTGTCCTTCAGTGGGTCAGGAAATGTTTTCTTAAAAGTACTAATTAGCAGTGCATCTGGAGGGCAGCCTTTACAACACGCTAGCAAGAACCAGTTTCAATGGATCCTAATAGATGACGGATGTTGAACATGTGTCGCTAACATGAGCGCTAACAATTCCACCATTTATAAATGTGGATGGAAACATGTGCAGTCCTTACAGGTGCTTCAAAATGCTAAGCAGAGACAGATGAAAGTACAGAAAACACAGCATAGCTCCACTGCAATTGACTGATTTAGACGCCACATTCATTTTCAAATTTAGTCCTACGCTGCAGTTTGAATGGTTGACAATGAAGCAGGGCTGTTTCAGCACAGCTGGCATTTTGACAGAGAGCAGGACTTTCATTGTTGGGACAGTGTGGTAAGAGGATGATGTCATAGTGGTCAACCTAAAAGGTCATAATGTGGAATATAATACTCTTGACTCTGTCCTTCATCATCACCGGGCTCAGACCTGAAACCGTCTGAACCCAGTGCAGTCCAACGCCACAGTCACATTTTCTGGAACCAGCACTCGTGGTAGTGTGAGGCACTTTGGACTGAATTCTCCACCAAATGGCAAGCATTATGTCTATGAGTGGGTTCAAAGTACTACAATGAATGAGAAATTACAAAGTGCAAAGCCTACTGCTTCAGTCACATAAAACTGGGCTGCAGCGATGAAAAATGAAAGAGAAATTCTGCTCAAATTATTAAACTTGTTTTCCTGTTAATGTAAAAGATTTAACATCTGTGACATCCAGCAAACCCTTATTGATACGATCATGTGAGGTCTGTCATGCGTGTTTGGACTGTGAGGTCACATCCATGAAGGAGGGTCACGTCTCCATCATCACCACTGACATGGGACACTGGCCTGGGTTAGAGGTTGTCTCTTTCAGAGGGCTAAGGTATGCAAGGCATGCCACTGGGGTAGGAAATCAACACCAACAACCAGCCGAACACGAGTGAAATTCATCGTGCCTGGTAAATCTGCCTACTCAGTTGTTACAGAAGAGACTTCGTTTCCTGCCTTGCATGGTACACTGGTCAAGGTTGGAGGTCATCCCGTTCAAAGAACTGAGGAATGTGAAGCACGTCACAAACATAAAATTCCACACACAACTCCACAATAACCACCATGATGCACGAGGAAAAGAGGACAGCCATTTTGGTTAAAGGTAAGAGGGAAAAGCTATTAAACGTGACTAATGGAGGTAGCACAGATCCAGTTGCTGATGTACAAATGCCCGCTGAGGTTAACGGAGGAAGAAGGAGTCGGTTTTAGTCTCTCGATGCTGGAAAAGGGAGCTGCAGTCACACACTTCCATATCACAATGTTTTTCAAACACTCACCAGACAGTGTGTGGTTATGTGTGTGTGCTGTACAGAGAGCACAGAGGTTACAGAAAAAAGTAATATTCTCAGAGTAGAAAAAAAAAGAAAAAGCACTTGTGGCCTGTGAAAGCATACGGCTACCGAAAAACAGCCACAGTGTTGATATTTGGCCGGTGAAGCGATCACATAAAGAAGATATAGTGCAGCGCTGGGAAATGCTGATTTAAAGCTGCCTAAAGTCTAATATCCTGCTTTACTGCGTCTCCATATGGTTTCAGAGGATCAGCTGAACATGACATGAAACAGCATAAGGCTGGGCTCTGTTGCCCATGTGCAAGGCAACATGGTGAGGATTAGCATATGTTCTGGATGTGTGGAGGGCTCCACGCCATGTGTACGGAGGGAGGTCAGAATAGGTAACACCTGACCATTCACACAGCGCTGAGTTTTCTGGTAGTGACGTGGCCCGACTACGCATGTCTTTCTGCCAATTCTCTCCTGTCAGAAATATAAATGAAAACAGGGAGCCAATACCAAGATGCATTCTCTGATGAATGCCTTATTGTCTGCTGATAGGCTAAATACTTAATGCACTGACTATAATGCTTTATGCAAGTCTTGCTCCGGGCTTGCAGGCTACCCTCCCAAATATAATATCTGACCCCATTTTTGCACAGTTACAACATTCACACTTGGCTGCATGAGACGTAGCAGCAACAAAAGTTAACCGTGGCAAGTTATCATTAGACACGTGGTGACATGGCATTTCCTTGGCCTGTAAGGGAAAAAACAGGTGAAAATGTGTGTTTTTTTTTTACCTCTGGAAACTGGAGAGTCTGGGGGACAGGACGACTCCTTATTTTCGGGGGACAGTCTCTGTTTAGCATTTGCACTTCCTGAACTGAGCGTCGGACTGGAGGGGGGACTCGAGCCCCGGCTGTTCGTGGCCCCTCCGTACAGGGTTTGAGCCCGAGTTGGGCTGCTCTGACCCCCACGAAGTAGCTGGTAGGGCACGGTGGCACGGATGGGGTGCAGGCGGCAGCTGCTGTTGCTGAACGAGCCGGGGGAGCCCGCATTGCTGCGTCTCACCCTCGGCTGCTGGAGCGAGTTGCTCGGGGCTGACATCCTCCGAAAGTGGCCGTACTTCTTATCGCAGTGAAAAACACGTACTGCCAAAGTTGCTGCTTCTCTGGAGGAGGAGATGTTGAGGCGGAGGGGGGGGGCGGTAAGATAAACATTAGCTTGTTAGCAAGAGAAAAAAAAACGTTAGCTTCCTTTTTTAAAAAATCAACTCATGCGCTCGAGGATAAGAAAAGCTCCAGCGCGTGTTGTTTTATGATAAACTTACCTGTAAGACACTAACACATGCCGCGGCGAGCTTCGGCCATAACGTGGGTAACTTTGAAAGTAGTTTTTAACACTTCTCGAAGCGCTCAGTTCGTGTTTTCCAGCCCTCGCTGCGTCTTCCCCATCCTGTCCACTCACTCTAAATGACAGTTGTTTCGGCCAGACTACTGGCTGATGCCTGTGGGCGGGCTACGCTGCTCGCTTCTGCGCTTCTGATTGGACGATGACGTTGTACAGTAGCGCCGCTGATTGGTGCAGCTCAGTCTACGGACCGCACTTTCAGCCTATCACGTACGCAGTGTCTCCGTAGTACGTATAAAGTTTTTTTTTGTTTATTACATTTGCTATAAAGAATATAGTAATAAATTGCTCATGAATCCCCTACATGTAGTGTATTAGTCTTCATAGGACCGAATGCATATATTTTTTTTACAGCTAAAAGAACTTGACACCACAAGAGTCATTAATGGCTGCTCTGGAAATTTCAATCGTTATGACACGATTTAGTTCACAGATATGTTCATGCCCACGATTTTAATGCCAAAAACATAGCCTGTAAAGTGACTTAATAAGTTATCCATACAATGCCCCTTGCCTTGTATACATGGTTTACAAAGATGGACAAAAATACAACTGGTAATTTTCGCAGAATATAATTTAATTAACATTTCATCATTTTTAAAGCAAATACATTTAAAGAAGGCCATTGCTGAAAAGCCAGATGTTCCCTGCTTACAGCCATTTCCTGTTCCTTTTCTGTTTTCTATCATTGTGAACTAAATACCTGGGTTTAGGTCAGCTGATCAGGGAAAACTAGACATGTGAAGAGTGTATTAAATATGGCTTTCTTTGTTTAACCTTTCTTTCATCAGAGTATGCATTTCCCTATGCGTGTTGATGGTACAGCGCATCAGGGCAACCAGAGACAAGTCAAATTCCTTTTATGCTTAAACATACTTTGTCAGTGACTGTGGTGAGACGGTTGGTCAGCTGCTGTTTTCCATTGGCAAGAGTGAATTTCAGTCTCGACTTGCAAGCCAACGCGGATGACAAAATCTTAATATTCCACGACAACTGGCCAAACTACATCTGTTTAGGGAGGTTGCACCATATAATTGAGAGTTCCATCTCAGCTATTCAGTTGTGGCAGGTACGCTTGTTTGAAAGGTCAAGAATGAACTTTCCCTCTGCGCTAACACGGAGTTCTGTTGCTCGTGTAGTTTGGATCTATTGTTTTTTTCTCCCCCTGGTATCCATCTTCTCGACTGCATCTACGGTTTGTGATTCTGTGGGAGTTCCCATGGGAGAATAATGTGTGACTCAATGCGTTTATGCACAGATCGAGTAAGCATGTGACAGAAAACCCACGCCATCTGTGTCTATGAAACATGATAATGTAAAAATAAACCATGTCAACTTATTGAAAACACCCCCATTCAGCAGTGCTCCAATTTGTCAGTCGGAATTTATTTAAAAGGCAAACACAAGAAACACTGAAAGGATGAAATTCCAGCCACTCTGTTTTTCGGGACGCTACACGGCTCGCCAATTTGTCAGCTCCACTCCAAAATAGTTCACAAAAGGGCATGCAGGCCTATAAAACCTCCCACACCGGGAAGAGATCCTGGTGAAAGCAGCATACAGTAGCTCCTGTGCCCCCCACTCCTCCTCACCTCCTCCTCCCTACTCCATGACTAAGTGATTTAGCCAGCTCTGGTGCAAGCCTCCTCTCACTTACAATGCCTCCCTGGGTTAGTGACTGTGTGGGGAGGGTGGCAGAGAAAGCGAGAAACCCAATTTACAATGTGGTTTACACACGGCCGTCCCCCCACAGACGGCGCCCATCCTTGGATTGATGTGTGGTATGCATAGTTTTTGGGTGCAATTTGGGCACCAGGGGGAGAGAGAAAGAAAGAGAGGGCAAGTCTGTGTATGCAGAGGGTGTAGGAGGGGGCGTACGGGGCTCAGGCTGTCTGTTCTCTCGCCCTCTCTTTGAGTCAATAGTGTTCCGGCAGCTGAGGTTCTTTATGAGGGGAACAATCTGGAGGGTCTTGTCAGAGTGCCGAGCAGCTGCTGTTTTCTGGGGAGCTTCTTTCATGGACCACAGGCCTGGAGTGGGCTGGTGAATACAGACGCTCCCCACCCATTCTCCTCCTCGCCCACCACCCCTACCTTCTCTAATTCCTCATCCTCTCCCCCCATAACCGCCCCAACGCTGGAAGCCCCTCCCGCACGCTTCCAGATGAAGAGTGGCACTGAGGAACACGAAGAGAGCAAGAGGCTGTTATTGTGTGCTAGACTCCGCTCCGTCACCCGGGGTACCGTCCTTCACCCCGAACAATGCTTTCATGAGGTATGTGAAGATCCTTTCGTAAGACAAACACAGACGTTAAATAGCGTATTAAAACACAAGCCACAAAATATAGCTCGAGACATATTGGCACCTGTGATCACATCTCTACAACCTGATGTGTCAGTGAACATTTGATTTCTTTTATAGACATTAAAAACCAGAACCCTGATTCAGGCTTGACTGGAAGAGGCTGATTACAGCAGAGCCACTTGTATTTCTCCTGAGTGGGATTTTCATTAGCAGAGCAGTGAGTTTGCATTTGCTCCCTTTCTGTCATTGATTCAGTTAGTCAGATCAGTAGCACACACTGCCTCCCTTCTTCATATAGGGCTCTGTTACAACATTACATTCACTAGACTATAACAGTATTTCATTCTATTTAGACAGCCACTTCAGAGAAGGACACCGCTGGCACCCTTTGTCCCTTGTCCAGGTGTTGCTGTGGCGGGCGCAGCAGTGAACCTGCACTGGTTGGCTTCGGGCTGGTGTTTCGTTTTGCTTTTCGACAGGCGTCTCCTGTCCTAGCTGCTGTCTGAAGGCACCAGGTTCCCTGTGGTGTCCAGCTGCATGCATTTACATGTACAAGCTGACACTGGGCACTCTGTGTGGTCTCTGTAACAAAAAAAAAAAAAAAACAAGGTCATTTAAAAAAAACACATCAACATGTGGAGTAGAACTGAGGTCTTCAGGTTGGCAGGCGAGTCGACGTGCTCTCATTAGACCAAAGTGTCAGACAATCGCTTGTGTCACTTTCATAACTCCATCAACAACCTTCCAGATGTAGTTCATTACTGTAGCGGTAGGAGGAACAGACTACCTGGGCCAACCTAATGAGTCAGTCTAGGCCTAACTTATTAAACATTTACTGAATGTTTACTCGGAGTCGGCTTCAACTTAAATGACACGATTCCAGAGAAGCCGTCAGTGTGGCTGCATTTAGTTGAAACAGAAAGTCAAGTTTAAACCAACAACTAACATGGCAGATCATCTAATAACACCACGATACCTCGTCTGCATTAAATTCCTCAATAGCTATGGAGCTGGGATCAGGAGTTGATGTATTTATATTTTCAGAAATCCTATGAATATGGACAGATGCAGGCTGATGTGCTCAAAGGATGTTTTCAGTTTAAAACAACTAAATGTTTTTATATTCTGCAAATACTAGCTTTTTATGTTTATTTATGATTTATTTATGCGAATAAGAAGTCACTCTTCTGAGTGGGATCCCAGCATGAATAAAACTCTACAATAATAAACTTGTCTTTACATTTAATGACAATCAAAGAGAAAAATAAAACCATTTGTTTACTTTGGGTTTAAAACAGAACCTCCTTTTTCACTTGTTTCCCTCCATATGCCTAAATATCAGTTTGTTTCAGATGTTTTTGGCTATAATCTCTTGATGTGTTTGGTTATGAAAAAATGCATGTGTATTTATATTTCTTCATTTACATTTTTTATTATCTATATGAACTATACACTATATGCTTTATTTCATATAGTGCAGCCTGTTGTTCCCTTACACTGACCCGTGTATGGTCATGTGTTGTGTAAGTCTTGAAGTTATGGACAAGTGTAACTGAATTGTCTTTCAGTATCAATCAATAAAGTTGTTTGACTCCAAATCTATTTTATATGATAAACATCAAATTACATTTTAGTGAAAAAAGTTAAACTCAGAACATTCTTTGCCTTTTTAATTCATTTTAGCTTCGAGATCAAAAATCAAGTAAATGGAAGGAACACATGCTGCAGCAGTGAGCGCGTGTGAAAATGATTGAATCATGTGCTCCGGTCCTACCTGAACCAGCTGAGCATATGGCCGGCATGGCCGCCGTGTCGACAGTTGTGACACCAGGTGAACCAGTTGTTGAACTGAGCGAGTTTGTTCTCCCTTGTCAAGTCCACTTTTTCGTCGGACTTTCCAGTTCCTGCCAAAAACATCCATCCATAAATCAATATTAACATCCATAAAATTTGACTATTTATCAGCGTTGCTATGGGTTACACCATAGCAACAAGGGGACTGGGTTGGCCACTAAATGTCCAGGTGCAAACTGTCCCTGAATGCATCTCAAAGTCCACACATTCTTCCCTGCAAATACTCAGTTAAGCATTATAGCCACTTAAGCTGCTCCAAGATGTGTTCCTGTTACTGGACATGTCAGCTGAGCATCTGTCCACATGGTCTGCTTTACCTGGGCAATTGGAAACAGGCGTGCCCATGTTCATGAGGCAGAGGGCACAGCGTGGCAGTGGTTTCCTGCAGCCAGGGCAACTGGTGACCTTTGACTTGGTGGGCGAGCCGCTGACACCATATTGGCTGAAGCCACGGCCCTGGTGAGGCATCGCTGAGCAGCTGTAGGAGATGGACTTCCCACAGAAGTTGCAGCTCACAAACACCTGCCAAGAGCAAACACAAAGGTCGGTTGATAAGGAAAGATAAACATGAAGGTAAAACCAACATGCACATGCTTACCAGCTGTCTGGATTTCATTTTAGGGGAGAGTGAGATAAATATTAGATAATACACCAATAATCCTAACATGATTCACTGTGATTATTGGAATGCCAGCAATGCAGTAAGGTACTGCCAAGCCTTGCTTACAGCACCAACTCATAATCACACATAAAAACCTTTCAAATATTAGGTTTTATAAGAAATTCAATGTGGAGTATGTGTCATGCATCGAGCAGATTTCTGCAGTGTAAAAGGAGAAAACAACGTAGGTCACGAACAGCACAACAAGTTTTCCAGCAAGAATTGGAGAGCAGAGCTG